ATGTAGTAGTGTAAATGTGAACTAGCAACACACCTTCCACCAATCAGCTCCATTTACGACGGGCATTGTCGGTTTGACGACATTCAAAATCAACATTTTCTCTCGGAATTAAAAGCTTCTTCAAAAAATCTGGAGGTACGCTTCTCTAGAAAAAAATCGTCACATTTTGATATGTACCATTTGTGTAACGAAATATGACATCTGCCTCCATTGGCTAATCCCTATCACTCTCTTCCAACCATAATTGATCCCTCCCTTATTGTGCGTACATTCATGCATTCTCTCTTTTTGCATGTCCAACATCATTCTCTCATTGTATATATTTCTATCACTCTTCTTTTATCTTCTGCGCTATATATAACGGTGAACCTGAGGAAATGACCCGTTTAGTATTTTTCTTTGTCTCTTGATGCTATATGATGACAAAAAAACCTAGACAATGGCGTTTCGTTTAGATTTAAATAGTGAAATCTTAGCTGCAGACGATGAAAATACAACCCAAATCAATCAAATGAGAGAAAAGAACAACAGCAGTAATATTATACAATCCGTGTTTGAAATTATTTGGCTTGATGAGGATTCAACTCACAGACGTTATCTACATGTAATAGATTACTTAAAACAAAGAATTAATCATTTAAATCCATTTCATAATTCAATTGATTGCATAACTTATTTAAAAAATCTTGATTATCGGATAAAAGTCTTATTTGTTATTGCCGGTGATTCAGCTGAGTATTTTATTCCACTTATTCATCATTTAGTACAAATAAAATTCTTTTACATTTATTCAGATCACCAGTGTGATCAGCCTGGTTGGATATATAATTATTCGAAAATTTGTGACGTATTAATTAATGAGTATGATCTTTCCACTTGTCTACGAGAAGTTATTCAAATGTCAGTAAAAACCATGGATGATAAAAATTTACGCTTTGTGCCAAATATAACAGTGTCTAATGAGCCTTTATGGTTCTCCTCATTTATCGACGTCTTACTAAAACTGGATGAAGAGCATGCCGATATTATTAGTCATGATAAGTGGGAAGAATGTCGATTATATATCAGAGATAATGATACGGAGTTAAAAGCTCTATCGAACATTCAACGTACATACACATCAAGTGATGCCCTAACATGGTATACAACAACTCAATTTTTAGCTCACCTAGTAAATAATGCGTTAGAAACAGAAAATATAGATATGATATTTAAATTTCGATTTTTTATCAAAGACATCTATGAACAATTGCTAAAAAACTATGCAAACTTTATTACATCATTACCAAGTCATAGTATAAAAGTATATAGACTTATGATAATGACCGTCAAGGAACTGAATAAATTACGTACGAATACTACTGGATATATTATGATAAATACGTTTCTATCTGCAACACGAGTGAAAAATGCTGCGTTAGATAATGATACAAGACAGAATTCATTGTATCATAAATTTGTCCTACTGGAAATTGATATTTCGAAATCATGTCATAATACACGACCATTTGCTAATGTTTCTGTACTACAGCATTATCCTATTTCTCATGAAATATTGTTTATGGCAGCAACCACTTTTCGAATACATTCGATCAATGAGGATAGTACCAATGATCTACTTATCATTCAATTAACACCAATACTTGACGATGAAAATACGGCT